ACACACACACACACACATACAGATACACACACAGATACACACACACACACACATACATATTTACATACACCGTGTATATAACACACATTCACTTAGCTAAATGGGGACATTCTATAGACTTCTATTGTTTCTATATATAAATAATATAATCTAACCACACCCTAAAAGAAACTTTATGCACTTTTACATAAAAAAATACTGGAATCTTTATTTTTATTTACTATTTATTTTTACCATTTTATACAGTTTTTATAAGTTTTTTGCATTTTTACCATTTTTTAAAACTTAATTTTTTTATACAATTTTTATACCGTTTTATAACCTTTCCCATTATTTGTGTTCATTATTTACTTTATTCTTTATTTTTACTTTTTATTGACTATATTTTATAGCGTTTTATACTTTTAAAAAACAATTAAAAAAAAAACTTTGTTTACTTTTGTATACTGTGTTTGCAAATGAGGACGTTACAAAAGACGGTTTTATCAGGTTAAGTAGGAACACAAAACACCTTTAACTGTCGAAATAAGGGCATAGCGTAGACTGTTAGTGCTTTAAACTTAAAACTATTTCAAACTGAAAACCATCAAACTTAAAAAAAATTTAAACTTAAACTTCTTAAACTTTTCAAACTTTCTTGTCCGGCTTTCTCAAGCCAACTTAAAGTTTGTCTTGACGAACTTTTTTATCTAGTTAATTATATATTATAGTAAAATATAATGTACAACTGCCTTCTAACACAAAATCAAACCCTCGACTACAGAAAACATGTTTTATGAATCATTTCTACCTTCAGGCGAGTCATTACTGATATTAATCACCTCATATTTCTGTCCAAACACACACACACACAGATGATAAACATCTCCGGAGTCTCTGAAACTCACCAAATATCCAGCAGCACACAGAAGAGTAACGTTCATCGAGTATTTATTAATTATTATTAAGCGTCTGTCGCGTCCAACACGCACTGCCCTCGCGCCACGCGTCCGGTTCCCATGGCAACACAAGCACGCGGGGCGGGGCTTAGCGGTGGTCTAACCAATCACTTCAGATCAGTTTTGTCGTTAAATATAATCTTATATGTATAAATCCTGTGTGATCATGGGAAATGTGTTTGTTTTTGTGATATTTGTGCTTTAATTATGCCATGTACAATTACAAAACTAATGAAGTGATTCATATTTTATATGAATATATATTCAATTATATATATATTTGTCAGCTAAAATACATAAAATGAACTGTAGTATTTATCAGAAAGACAAACATGGATTTTATTTGGCCATATAGTCAATAATATCAACGATGTTGATATGAAAGTTTATTTATTTGAAATGTGAAGGAGTGAAATTATAGAATTATATATTTTGTTTGAAAAAAAAAAACAGCTCTGATTTTGACGTTTATTTCTATTTCCCGAAATCCATGATATCGTATTAATAGATCTTAATTGTTTTAATATATGTTCATTTTGTGTTGAATATTTTGTATGTTTGGAAAAAAATGATCCCGAGTCTCTTTAAATCCGCGTCCAATCAGCGAAATGGGCTCGAAATTTGAAAGGTGGAGCCTCATTGACCTGCTGCTCACCATCTCTCTCTCTCTCTCTCTCTCTCTCTGAGCGGCAGCGGCATGGAACTCTGATCAAACACAAGTGAGTAACGAACTCTTTCATTCGCGCCGTTTAATGACGGTTTAAAAGGTATTTGTCGTTAAATGTGTCACATGTGATGGCAAACTTCGTGTGTGTGTGTGTGTGTGTGTGTGTGTGTTGAGCCGCAGTTGATTGACTGTTTGTGTCATTTGTTTTTGTCTTAGTTTGGCGTCTTTCTGTCAGCGGTGAGCCGTTAAACGTGTGTTCCTTCACAAAAACCGGTTAAAAGCAAATGTTCTTCATAAAAAGCTTTGTAGTGTGTGTGTTGTTTGGTTTAGTCTGCACTGCACGAGCTCTGTTGGACAAGCGCATTTAAATCGGCGCGAAGTTTGAATCTGCAGCTGAGCGCGTCACCATAGCAACAATAACCGACTCCTGATGCCATTACGAATGTAAAGCTAATTAACAAAACAATCTCCTAATTACCGGTCTGAACCGCGGAGGATGCCAAAGCCACAACACTGAGGCTTTTTAGACATTTCTGACAGAAACCTTCCACACTGGTATCTTTAATTTACTGTTAATTATCCTTATATTGCAATCGTTGCCAGCACAAGCTGTAATCGCGTTCATTATGTCTGATTAACCGAATATATAACGTTAACTAAACGCATAATATAATCTTACACCTCTATATTACTGCCATCTGGGCTGGGCATTACATTGAGACACATTATTTTGAACAAAATATATATGTTTATATATGAAATATAAATTTGAGATTTAAATTAGGAATTCTAGTCAAGTCACCTTTATTTACATAGGCCTAGCACTTTATTCATTTACATTTAGTCATTTTGCAGACGGTTTTATGCAAAGCGCTTCTTCTTAAAGAGGCAAACACTGAGTCAATCACTCACTCAAAATCACTGAGTTTGACTGGAACACGGAGTCAAATCAATACAAATTGTGAATTCTGAAAATATAAGTGTAATTCTGAGAAGAAAAGCCTTAACTGTAAGATATAAACTCGTAATTGCGAGGGGGAAAAAAGTCAGAATTGCAACTTTCTCAAAATTACCTTTTTATTTTTGTTTATTTGGTATCAAAAACAAGCTTGACGTTCTTTTTTTCGCAATTCTGAGATATAAATTCGCAATTACAATGACTTTTTTCCGCAACAGAAAAATAAGCTTTCGTAGATAATGTGATTACTACTAATTATAACAGTAAAACAAGCTGCTGTAAAGCTGCTTTGAAACAATATGATTTGTGAAAAGCGCTATACAAAGTGACTTGAAAAGATGTAAAAATGCTAATGAAGGAATTCTGGAAACTGTTATGAGCCGGTGAACCAGGAGCCCAGTAAAGTGACTTATGCAAGCACAGATTAACCTTTCGTTCATTGTCACTCATTTATTTTCTTCAGTTTATGGTGTTGCCTGAGAATAGGGGTTGTTTATGATTTATCTGCATGTTTTATCTTCATCTTATGAGTTAGTTTTTGCTTTTTATATTGCTTAATAATGTTTAAAATTGTACAGCACTTTGGTACAACATTTATTGCTTTTAAATGTGCTTTATAAATAAAGTGAACTTGATTGTCTTGTTTGGCAGCACTCCTGGGTCTATTGAGCGTTTGCTGAAGATAATGGAGGTGAAGTCTGGGAAACATCGGACCTGCGGCTCCACGGGCTCAATTAACGAGCCAAAGCGGGAACCTGCCGTATCGTTAGCCTGGTGCGAGACTCCGAAGTTGATCAGGAAGGATGCATCGCTCCGCCGGCGCCTGCTCGTGTCTCGATCCTCGTCTGAAGCTACGCCTGGAGACATCTCCAGAGATCACCTGGCCTGCGAGAGCTTCGACTCTCCAGACGTCAGCCCGACCGGGCCTTTGTCTTACAGCACTTTAAAAGCAGACGACTTTGTGTTCTCCTGTCGGAAGCGCCGCCTCCTGTTCTCCCAGGCCGTCACGTCCACGCTGGAGACCGGCAGGAGCGGCGTTCGTATGAGCCCGATGCCGTTTCAGAACCAGGCCCTCGCTGAACCGGATCTGGACGAAAGCATCATAGCCGGTCTTCCCAGCTCGCCGCAAACCGACGACTTCACGCCGCTGACCGCAAAGGCCTTCCGGTCGCCCGTGAGAGCAGACATGTCCTCGCTCACGTCCGCCTCCGAGGACAGCGGCTTCAGCTCTTTGGGTCTGGATAAATCGCACGACTCCTCGGTGGACCACGACGGCTCCTTCCAGGAGCTGGTCCTGCCGGCGAGCTCGAGCGGGAAAGACAAGAGACGCTCGCGGCTGGAGAGACAGCGCAGACTGTCCACGCTCCGAGAGGGAGGCTCGCAGTCAGAGGACGGGCCCAAGAGCCAGCGGACGGAGCCTCGCGCCAGTAAAGATGAGGTGTTTTTGGACGGAACGCCGCTGAGCGCCGCCACGCTGATGATGCAGGAGCTGTCTCTGACTCCGGCACTGCAGCTCGTTTACACCATTAGCCATCAGCAGACCAGTTTAGAGGAGCTGCTCCGAGACGGGCCCGTCGGAACCAGCCTGCCGCTCTCGGGACTCATCGGACGCAAAATGGGCCTAGACAAGGTGGACGTCGTTGCAGAGCTGAGGATGAGAAACCTGAGACATGTGCTAGCGGTTATCTTGAGTCTCCTGTCTGCAGCTGACCTCTACAGGTACGTGATGCAGGTCAAATATTAATAGCTTTGGTTAGGGCTGCACGATTAATCGGAATGAAATCACAATCACGATTAGGCAAAAGCTTGTCAGTGAAGTACGGTTCTAGTAAATCTCCATCCGAAGGCCAGAGAAACTCCAAATACGCCCCGC